CCCCCCCCCCCCCCGCCCCCGCCCCCGCCCCTGCCCCCCAGCTCTCCTCGCTCCACCCCTGCGACTGCCCTCTGCCCGGATGACCCACTTCTGCTTTCCTTTAGCTTCTCCTCCCAGGAGCTCAGGGCCCTCCCCCAACTCCTTCGGGACCCCCTGCCACAACACACACGCGTGCACACGCATGTGTGCACACAGGCACGTGCATATACACGCGAGCGCCTGCATGGTCTTCTGCGGCCCCCTCACTTGCACCCGGAGTTTCGGCTTCCTCCCCCTCACCTTGATGGTCACGTTCCCTTTGGTGATCTTGCGCATGTTGAAACCCACGGTGGGGATCATGTCCTCGTTGAACTGTCCTGACTGGAAGGAAGAGCCAGAATTGGAAAAGGGGCAAAAATCAACAGGACCCCGATGCACCGTCCCTGATGGCGGGGGACAAGAGGCTGTGAGAGTCAAGTGGAGGCCAGGCCAGGGCTTCTTGGGCGTCCCCGGGGCCAGGGGGCGCTCCTGAGCGTCCCTTGCCTTCCAGCAGGGCGGGCGTAACCGACCGAGGTGTGCACCCCATCCTGGAGCGCTCCTGGGAGGGAGGAGGCAATGGCAGGGCCTCTCCCGGAGACCAGAGGTCTCACCCGCGTCTCTGCTGAACAGAAGCCGCTACCGAGTTTGGTCTGCAGCCGAGCAGAGGCGCCACCACCTCCGGCGCAGGAACCCCGTGCAGGCCCCGGAAACAGCACGGAGATCTCGAGGGGAGCGGACGGACTTTCAAAGCCGCAGTAAATATTCCAGTCAAAATCTGGGGAAGGTAAATCGGCCACCCCCAAAATGCAGTGCACGCAAGCAATTTCAGGATTATCCACAGTTCTGGCTCATTTGTCCACACTCCATCTGTTAGGATGGATAATCCACACTCTACATGATCTGCTGACTTCTGTGTCTCCCACCAGACGGAGAGCTCCTTGTGGAGAGGAACGTGTTTATGTTAACGTTTGTAGACGTTTGCCGCATAACTAGAATTGACGGCAACTCCACTTCCCGCCACCCATCCTCAGATCCTAAGAATGTTTATTTTCCCCCTCCAAATTGTCTCCGAGATCTCTAGACTGTTCTGAACTAGCCACAGGCCTCAACAAGGCCAGACCAATATCCCCCCAAGATCATCGCATGTTGACATGAAGGACACTTCTGCTCACCCCCAGGCCAGGCTGGAGGAGACGGGGCTTCTGGCACCTGGCCCCTGAGGGGACAGCACTGTTCCTGCCCCGTGCCATTTGCTTCTTCCAGCTGGGAGGAAGAAGGCCTCGGGTCACGTAAAGAGGTCAGGGACTCTGACCACTAGCCAAGGTGTGGGGGCTGAGGGCTTCCCACGCAGAGCCCTCAGTCTGGAGGTCCCACCTGAAGGAGAGATTCATTCCCTTTGATCTGCAGGAAAGCCCCAAACTCATTCACCAAGACCCCTGGATGTGAGACCGGAGGACCCCCAACGGATGCTCACGACACGGTGGAGCCCACGTTCCTAACCTGGAGGCCAGACGGGCGTCAGAGAGCCGTGGGACCCCTTGAAACTGCACAGGATGCGCATGTGTTTGTATGTACACTTCTCTGGGGAAAGGGTCTCCAATCTTATCAGATCTCAAAGGGTCCAAGAGCCCCTGGAAGTTAGGAATCCCTGAGCAAAGGGAGTGTCCCCGAGGACAACAGCTTCTCTCCTGGCTGAGCAGGGAGGACCGTGGATGGTCTTGGTCTCATCACCCAGACCCGAGGGGGCCAGGCGGGGGTGGGGCACCTGCTGGATATAGTCCACCCCACCCCATTGGCTGATTAGGAGCTCAGAGTCTGAGGATGGAAGCCCATCTCTTGTCATCCCTCATTGTAGAGGAGCTGGGACAAGACACTGCCACCTCAGGGCCTCAAGGCCGCCTTCCATGACATGGGGGAGAAGTGCTCAGGTTGTCTAGAGATTGGCCAATTAGGCTCACAAGGTGCTTGGAAATGATTTCAATGCAGCGTGAGAACCCTTCATCGCTCTTGGCTCCCACATACATGAAAAGCCCGGCCTGGCAGGGGTGATCCTGGGCAAAGGAGGAGGCTGGAGGACCCTGAGGGAGCCAGGCTCCCAGCACCACGGGCTCCAGTGCAGCTGCGACTCAGAGCTAAGCTGGAACCAGCTTAGGACTTCATCTCTCTGCTGACGCCCCCATCGCACAAGCTCCTCATTTAAGGTCACGAGTAACCCTAACAGCATCCGGTCCAGCCTCTCGTTTCAGCCTCGAATCCCCCCGCTCACTCCTTCTTGGTCAGCTCCAACTCTCCAAAAGTCCTTTATAATGAGTCACAAGTCCATCCTCCTATAACTCCCCCCCCCCCGGGGACCCCAAGACTGGTTCCTTCACGGGACAGTCTTTTCCACTTTTAAATTTTTGAAAATGGTCCTCTTGTTTCCCTCAGGCAAAACATCTCCTACTTTCTAGCATCATGACTTTTCAGAACTCAAAAGATCAGTTTCAGGTTCTTGGAAGCACCGTAAAGTCTCTATATAATTTCCTTCCAGCTTTCTTAGCCTGCGGAGTAGCTGGACACATCAAGTCAACTTCTATTTACACCCTGGCCTCAGACAGCGAGGAGCAAACACCGACTGGGGGAGCGGCTGAGACAAACAGGAGCCAAAGGGACAGACAAAGGTGATTCGGAGTCAGTGGTGGGCACGAGGACCAAGCCCAGGGGTTCCGACTCTTGGTTTCTTTCTGAAAGACATTCGACGGTGACCACACGCAGGGTGGGCAGAAACTCCAGCGTGGCAGCCCCGGAGGACCTGGGAACACAGGGTTACCCTGTCGCTGGGATGCCCACTACAGCCCCCCCCGGGGGGGGGTGTTTCTTGGGAGGACTCGTTAGAGGGAAATTCAGCTTGCTCTTTAAGGATGTGCAAGTTGAAGCAACAAATTTAACATCGAAAAGGGGAACACATGGCTGGGGAGGAGGACTTCCCTGCACATCACGGAAATTCTTGACCCCGGCAGTGGAATTTGCCATTCTCGGGTTCTGTTCCTGACCTGCCGGAGCGTCCCACTCTCCAATATAATGCCGGCCTAGAGGAGACCCTCCTGTCCAGGAAGCAGAACCCACCGGGGTCCCTGGATCCCTGTCCAGGACATGGCTCCAACAAATACTCCATGAGGAGAGCTTCCCCCGGGACTGGAGGTGACATCTCAGCAGAGCCATCAGCCCAGCCTCACCCAGAGACAGCTCCCAGATCTAAATGCCTAGAAGCCGAGCCGCCCAGGCCCGCAGGCCCAGTGTCCAGGCGCTGTGCTCCTGCTCAGGGAGCCAAGAGCCCAAGTCAACGCCCAGTCTAAGCAGAGGGTCCCTGACACCACCGTGCCCAGAGCCCAGCACGGGCCTGAAGATCCCGCTCTGTCAGGTGAGGAGTCAGGAGCCACCGGTGGACGCAGGGGCAGAGGTCACTTGCGACACATGTTTGGGAAAGGAAGCCAGTGCCCAACATGTGATGGTGGGGTGCACGCCCCTCCAGCCTGCCCCGCGCCCTCCTGCCTCGGGCAGTGCTCCTTCTGGGTGCTGGGCCCTGCTGGGAGGCCTCTTCTGCAGGATGGGTGACCTCGGGCAGGAGGAGGCACCTGGGCCAGCCGGCCACACTTCTTTGCTGCCCTGTCTCGTCGGCATTCTGAGCCGGCAACTGGCCAACCTACAATTCTCAGAAACCCCCGTCTGGGGACTGGCGCCGGGTCCCTGGACCACCCAGGCCTCTGTCCCCAGCCTTCCTCTGCTCCCGGAGCCCCATTGGGCGGGATCTGAAATGCAGGCCGCAGCCATGACTGCAGCCCCAGCTCACACCCAGAAAGCTCATCTTCCTCTTTTTTTTTTTGAGACGAGATTTTAACTCCTTCCCCACCACTCCCCCGGCCCTGAAAGACTTACAATCGCCCTCCTCGGTCCTAGTACCCAGAGCCCCAAGCCGGTCTCTCCCAGGTCCCCAGAGTGGGCAGTGCCCCATCAGCTCATCCTCCGGGCGGGGGCACCTCCCCCTGCAACTTCTGAGCAGGTGCAGACTCCAAACTCCGCCAGCGATGCCACCCTCCCTGGACCCCCGGCCAGAGCCGCCGGCCTGGAGGTTCCTGGAGGGGAGGAGGCTGGGCTTGGGCCAAAGGCCTCTCAGCTGATCCCCCACCGCGGGGATCCCTCCCCTCCCCTCCCCTCCCCCTCCAGGGCGCCGGCTTCCTCTTCCGGCAGGCAGGGGTTAAGCCCTTGGGGTGGGGCTGGCCGCCCGGACCCCCTCCCCAGGCCGCCCGGTCCCGCGACCCCCCGCACGCGGAAAGGCCCGGGCGCTTTCGCCCTGTCATGGCCCGTGCGCGGGGCCGGGGGGCCTGTCTCGGCCGCCAGAGGGTCCCTCCCGTCTCGTGACCCCCTCCGGGGCCGCCGGTCCCCTCGTCCCCTCCCCGCCCCGCGTCGCGCCATCCCGGCCGAGCAGGAGGCGGGTCGCGCCCCACGTCCCCACGGCCGTGCTAGGCCCCGCGCGCCCGGCCCGCTCCTCCCCGCCCGCGCGCGGCCGAGCCGGCCATGCAGACGGCGCCCCGGCCGTGCCGGGCGGAGACCCGGTCAGCAGGGCGGAGACCCGGTCGGCAGGGCGGCGACGGCCCCGCGCCCCGGCCCGCGTACCGCGATCACGTTCACGAAGGTGGTCTTGCCCGAGTACTGCAGCCCGACCAGCGTGAGCTCCATCTCCTCCTTCCAGAACAGGGCCTTGAACCAGTCCAGCAGCTTGTTGAACAAAGCGATCATGGTCGCGGCGCCCCTCCCGGTGCGGCCCGGGTCCCGCTGCTCGGTGCGGGCGGAGCTCAGCGCGGCGCCGACGACTCGCGCCCGGAGCGGCTCGCCGATGGGTGTGGCTTCCGCGCCCTCCTGCTCCTCCCGCTCCTGCTCCTCCTCCTGCTCCAGCCCCTCCTCCGCCTGCTCTCCCTCCCGCTCCTCCTCCGCCACCGCCCTCCTGCGTCCCGCTGATGCTCCAGCGCGCGCTCCTCCCCCGGCGCTGGGGTCGGGGGCGGGTTTCGGGTTAGGGCCGGACCCACAGCTGGCGTCGGGGGCGCTTGGGGAAAACAGTCTGATCCTCTGTTTCCCTTCCCGAGCTGGCGCGCCCTGGCATCCCCTCGCTTAAAAGGCCGTGGGCCCGAGGTGGGTGAGGTCTCCGTCATGCGGGAACATGTGCGGGGCGGAGAAGGGTGGTTCACCCACGTTCCAGGACAGGAGAGAGATCTCTATGAAAGAGAAACTTTTTGTCCCCTAAATCCTTGCCTCCCAGCATCTCTGGGTACCAGGTCCCACCCTCTCAAAATGCTCCCAGCGGGAAGTCACCGCGTCTGGGCGGGTTTCGATGCGCCATCTTGGTTTGTAAACCGCAGTGTGCCTCATTTGGGAAGCCTCTGGTCCAAGGTGAAATGAATGTTTGGGTCTGATGCTGATTTTCGCTAGGATCACCCAGATACTTAAGATAAAATCCTGCTGGCGGGGAGGGAGCGGTCTCCAGTGAGGAGGATGTGCGGCAAATGGGTAAGTTGGCCTGTTCTGGGAAAAACCAAAATTTTCTCCCAGAGGAGAATTGATGGTGGGAGGTGTCCCTAACCCCAGGGCCCGCTGACCCCAGCTGGCGGTACCCCGACTTCCCAGGCTTCAGGGCAGTCCCCGCCCCATGCTGGGTGCTCCTGAGTGTTTGATGTTCATCCATGGAGAGTGTTGCTTTAGTCAAAGGTGCATAAATGGTCAGTGTCAACCGCACCTGTCAAATGGCCCCAGGATGAGCCCAGAGCAGCAGACAGAGGCCAAGGTGGAGGGGTCACAGAGCCTTGGCCTAGCATAATGCTCTGGATTTTTTGTGTCGTCCTTCTATTTTGCTCTAAGTCTCTCTCTAGCTCCTAAGGGTCACCTCTGCCCCGTTTCCTAAATTGACTCCAGGTTCACTTGGTTTTATGTGTCCCTGGAAGGGCTAGAAGGTTCCATGCCCCAGGGAAGGGCCTGCAGCCTGCTCCTGGTCTATGGATTTTCTCTCTCTATTGCTGTAAAGGGGCTCCAGATGCCTGAGAAGATGGAAAGAAGGAATGAATCAGCCATCCCAGAAGCCTTTATTTTCCCACACGGCTGCTTTTCCAGAGGCGCACTCTCTAAGTTCTGGAACAGGCTGGGGCCACAGCGCCCGGGGTGGGGAGCCTGTGCAGTTGCTGCCCTCCTGGCTGGGTCCGAGCTCTCTGCCCAGCCTCCCCGGCACAGACTGTGGGTGCCCCTCAGAGGGGTTGGGGAGGGTACAGGTATGGGGAGCCCCCTCCCGGAGCTGGAAGGAGGGAGGCGCTCAATAAGGCCCTGCGGGAACATGAAGAAAATGAGCCTCGGTTTCAGTGCTGTGTGTTCCTTGGAAGAGATGTCATAAATGAGGAGGCCCAGCTGTTCTCCAGCTCCAGCTCCTCAGGGGTCCACAGAGAACTGGCACCGGCAGAGGCAGACCCCAGGGGCTCTGTGCCTGCAGGAGGGGTGCCTCCCTCTCCCCATGGGCAGCCCATCTTGGCTTCACGGATGACGGCTTTGATGGCTTCCTGGGGTGTGGACATCAGCCCTGAGATAGATCTGGGGTACCCTGGAAATTGTGTTGATGCCGAGATGATGAGGGGAGTTAGTTCTCTGGGGTAGACTGTGCGGGGTCCCGGTTTGGTCTGAGCTCCCAGCTCTGCCCCACATGGCTTAACTCAGACTGTTCCTGGAAACAACCACGCTCTCCAGGTGTGCTCTGTGCACGCAGGGGGCAGAGGGCCGTGGGGTGCCCATTATCTAAAACCAGGCCGTGCTCTCCGCCTCCTCCTCTCTCCTCTTTCTTCTGGACTTCCTGGATGCCCAGGATGTCTTCTGAGGTCGTGGAAGGAAGACAGAGGATGCTGGGCCTCCCTAGGGAGCAACTGAGGTGAGTGGCCGGCCACTATGGAGGTGGGACAGCCCTCTGGGCCTCTGAGGGTCCCCACACTTTCCCTCTTCCAGAAATTTCAGCTGCTTGGCCCGTTTTTTTCTGTCGCCTGCCCCCAGGGACATGAGTGGGCGCAGGAGAAGTCTGGGTCCCTGTTCTCTCTGGGGGGTATCCACCTCTCGCAGATGTGGAGTGAGGAAGCACAGCGTCACTGCTGGGATGTCGAGAACGTGGCCAAAGTCAGGACCAGGCTGATCCCAGCTCTGGCACTTGGCCTGTACATGGGCAGGGTCATGGAGAACGACCTTGGGGTCACTCTCTTGCCGGCCCCAGGAAGGGGATACAGCTGGAACGGCTTCTAGGAACTTCTCTGATTGTTTTCCCCGTGAGGCAGCAAAGCACTTAGGTGTCCATGTCATAGACGAAGAGACTGAAGCTCACAGAGGGTTTGAGAGAAGACCAGACCCCTGGGCTTCTATCTCAGACCTGTTGTCAACGCCACCTCCTATCTTTAAGTTCAGAGGGACGTGGGAGTTTGCCCCTAGTGTCCACGAGAGGAAGGAGAGGACTGGCCAGTGGTGAAGACCTGCACTCCGGCCTCGGTCCTTGCTGGTCAGCTTCCTGTAACCACACATGCTCACTGAGGGGGCATCCTCTTCCCATGCGCACCCAGGAGGACCCTAGGCCACAAAGCCCTCTTTCCCCAGACCCACCTTCCCAGGCCTGGGAGAAGTCGGCGCCTGGGCTGGTGGAGGGCGTCGGGGGTCAGGGGCTGGGCTCCCCCGGCAGCTGGGCAGCGTACAGGGCCAAGGTGTGGTGCAGGAACTGGTACTGCTCCGTGGTCTGGATCATCCCGCCCCTGGGAGGAGAGGCACACAGACCTGAGCGGACGAGGGTCGGCTCGGCCGTCCTCGCTGTCCTCCAGGGAGAGCCTGACATTCCCCAAGAATCTGTCAGCTCCTCCACATACATTCGTCCTCTGCCTCCTGCTCCTTCTGGCTGCCCCTCAGCCCTTCCCCACGAGGGAAGCCCCCTGCCACTTACCCAGGGCTGAGCCCAAGGACTGGCTGTGCCAAGGAGGAGATGCCCCCCCCCCCCCCCCCCCCGCCCAGCACTTGGTCTTCTCTAACCACCAGCTCCTGGGTAGAAACAGCCCCTGATTCCTCAGACCAGGCCAGGGATGTCCCTGAGCCTAAGGTTTCCTCTTTCCAATAACCTTGAAAGTACCAATAATAATTCCGTACATTTGTCTAGTAGGTTCTTATGTTTCCCAAACACTTTCACATAAGTTAACTCATTCCTTACAACAGTTTTTTGGGGGGATGGGGCCACTATTTCTCTCTAGATAAGAAAGAAGGGCCCAGAGAAATTCAGTGACAGCTCAGGGAGGCGTGAGTCAGAATTTGCACCCTGGTCCCTGTCTCCAAAGCCAGTGAGCGTCTGTGCACTTCCTGTGGCCGCCTGGTGTCTAGAACCAGCCACAACCCTTTCCGCTGCCTTTCCCCTGAGTAGGGAATTTAGAAGAACCAAGACGAAAACAAAAAAGATCGAAGGCCCGGGGAAAGCCACAGAACGGCGTCTTTAGTCCTAAACCCCAAGCTAAGATTCTAGATTGAGATTCTCTCCTGGGTGTTAATCACAAAAGAAATAGGTCTTTAAGCAAAAGGGGCCCCTTCCTTTCTCACAGGAAGTGCTCAGCGGTGGGCGTCTGTGACTGCTCTGACCCCGGGAGGCACTGATGCCGCTCGCTCGTTAATAGTCTCGGTGCTGTTTACCTCCGTGGACCCACCTGTCCAGCCGCAGTTGGCACACGATGCCCAGAATGTCTACTTCCCCTCGGGCCTTCAGTTGTTGACATCCAATTCGGGTGGCGATGAAACAGCCGGTCCGGCCAATCCCTGCACTGGACGTAGCCAGGGAGCGAATGGGGGGTCACGGGAGAACAGGGAACATGGGGGGTCAGGTGAGCGGGGAACGTGGGGGCCGGGCCCCCAACCATAGGGAAAACAGTAGGAGCTAAGGGCACTGTGTTTGGGCGGAGGACATGGGGACGGAGGAAGGTGGCAGTGCCTCCACGGGTCACAGCTTTACACTGGAGGAGGCTACATTGTACCCGCCTCATTAAACAGATTCCAGGTCACCCTTGGTCCTGGTGCAGGCGTGAGGAGCTCTCCTCGCTTGGCAGTGCACAGCAGTTTCCAACTGACGGTGCTGTGCTGGGCCTGCTGACCCCTGAGCCCCTTATCTAACCGCCACTTCCTCCCCGCAGACACGTCTTCACAGCTGCCCACACTCAGCCCTGTCCCCAGCCGGCTCCTCCCCACAGTCCTCTCCACTCTGCTGTCTTGTCCTTTATTTCAAAGCCTTCTCCTTTCTTAGGAGCTTTCCCGTGCACAGCCCTGGTGGAGGCGCCCCGTGACTCCCGGCACTCACGCCCCTGTGGGGTGGGGAGCCCTTGCTGTCTGCACTTCTGCCTCTCTGTTCTGTTAGGATCTGCACCCCAAATGGTTTCCTGTTTGCAGCTTGTCCCCTGTGTCACCCCCTAGTCCACCTCAATATACTTGATATGCTTTAGCCAAAGTATTCTTTTCAAGTGGCAAATCCAAGTTTCTTAGCCCGTCGTACGAGGTCCCTCACCACCTGGACTTCGCCCACCTTCCAGACCCATCTCTCGTCACTGTCCCCACCACATCACTGCCAAGCACCCACTCTCTAATTTACTCCCAGCAAAGTGTCCCCCTTTAAATTTCATCTCTGGGCCTTTGCACATGCTGCTCCAGCAGCCTAGAGCACTTTCCCTTTCCCCTCTTCACTTTTCAGGTCTTAGCTTAGACGTCCTTACTCCTGGAAAGCCGCTTCTGGCCAAAGTCTGGTGGGGTGACTTGGTTCTGTGCTGTGCACACAGCCTGTCACAGCTCTCATCCACTGTGTGTTTAATTGTGTTATCTGCTGTCTGTCCCACCAGACTCTATACCCGTCAGGCCAGAATCCTGTCTCCTTAGCATCGAACACCATGCCTGACAATAGCAGGTTTCCAGTAAACGTTTGTTGAATGAATGAATGAGTTCCCTGACAGCAGGGACCACGTTTATTTCCTCCCCCAGCAGCCTGGGAGCTTCCTGATCTTTCCTCCCCTCTTTGGACTGTGCCTGGATGTCCAGCCCAGAAGACCAGGTTCTGCACGAAGGAGGGAAGAAGAACAGAGCGCTGGCTGGATGACCGAGAGGCTCCTGTCCCAGTGAGAACTGGGCCTGCCCGACTGCTCTGCTTGGAGCCCTTCCCAGGAGAGACCCCGTGGAAGGGGGCCTGGCCACGGGCTGCGGTGGAGGGAGACGCCACATACCTGCAGTGGACCACGATGGGCCCGGTGTTGGCGGCCGTCTCTGGGCTCTCCTCCACCTCGGCCACCAGGCGCAGCAGGGGCCCCGCCGACTCGGGGGTCTGGTGGTCAGGCCAGGCCGAGAAGAGGATGTGCTTCACAGACCGGTGCTCCTCCTGGTGCTGGGGTGGGGACAAGGCTTGAGAACCGGGGTCGGGGGGGGCACACTGCCCCCCCCTTCTCTGTGCCAGAGGAGGGTGAGGGCTGGAGTTCTCCGTGGGGCAGCCACGGCCCCGAGCAGGTCATCGTACCCCACCATTCCCCCCTCCGAACGCTGGGAGGAGCACTGTCAGGGGAGAGCAGAAGGACCCTAGTTCAGGGCCTGCCTCTGACACCGACTAGCACGTGACTTTGGGCAAGTCCCTTAATCTCATTTTCTTCACCCAGAAAGTGGGGACAGTGCAGTGGTATTGGTTTACTTCCCAGGATGCTTGGAGGGTAATGCGTCGATAGAGAAATGCTTTGAAAAGCATAAAGCGCTCTACAGTGGTATGGGCTGTTTAAGGCACTTTTATGTGCGCCCCTGTACATCTCTGTGGACCTCCTGTCGCTCCTGGGGACCCCAGCTCTCCTCTCCTGGCCCATTCAGCAGAGATGGATGGTTCCTGGTGGGTCCTACTGGGTTTGGTGGCTCTGCCCTGTTTGACTGGAGGCTCCCTGAGGACAGCGCCCTTGTGTGTCTTCTGGGCCTCAAGCACTTCTCTTAGGTGTGGGTTCAAGAAGGTTTAGATCTGAGTTCCAGAGAAGTGGGGGGTGACCTGACCAGGCCTGGCCCCAGAGGGTGGTACCTGGATGGAGAGCTGCCGCACGGTGTATTCTGGGTGCTCTTTCACATCCTGGACGCGAATCCGAAAGGGTCCGTAGGTGTCCTCTTCCGTGGGCCAGTAGAGGACACATTTCTGGGAGGGAGGGAGGGAGGGAGTCAGAAGGGGAAAGCGTCCATCAGCTGGAGCAGGGACTGGGGGGTCATTAGCACCTGCTGGGGGCTCCAGAGCTTGGCGCCTGCAGATGAAGTGCTCGCCCGTCCTGTGTTCCGGCTGTGCCAGCCTCCACAGGGGCATCTCAGGGACTTTTCTGAGAGCTGCACGCTGGGCCCGGCTACAGGTGGTCTCAGCCACCAGGGAGCCCCTGGTCTTGAGCGGCCCAGAGCTGGGGCGTGTGCGTGGTGGAGCGTAGCCCTTTCTGGGGTCCCCAGGGCTGTGGTCTGCCTCTTACCTCCTTGCTCTCTCGGAGCTGAGTGAGCATGACAATGAGTGACACTTCTTCCTGCCACACCATCTCCCAGAAGTCCGACACGGTGTTGGGCATGGGGCCCTGGGTGGCAATGTAGGCCTTCTCCTGCCCGCCGTAGCCCTGGGGGGTGCGCAGAAGGGACAGGAAAGCAGTGAGTGTGGACCTTTGGGGATCCCAGACTCTGCAAGTCCTAGGACCAGGCTGAAGCTGTGAACACGCACACCTGGACACACATGCACCAAAAGCACACACAGGAAGCCACGTGGTGGGAAGGACACAGGCTCTGGAGTGAGGAACAGCTGATTCCAAATCTACGTTCTTCTGGTCTCTGGCTGTGCCACCGTGAGCAGCTCACCCAGCTCTGTAGCCTCAGTGTTCTCATCCATAAAGGGGGCATAATATCTATCTTGCATGAATGTTGTGCACATTAAATTGAAGAAAGAACATTGAGAGTCTAGCGTGGATCAGGACCTCTGTACCATGTGCCCCTTCCTCCCCTGCTTTATACTATTGCAAAGTGAGAAAACAGTGTGTCTGTTGAATGAATGTTTCACTTTTGCATATTACTTGTATACATTTAGTAGCAAGATGTGGCGCCCACTTGCCAGCTCTTGTTCTCTGCTTCAGAATCCCCAGCTTCCTGCTCCTCAAGAGGATGCAGGAGCACCTGTCCACCTGGTTTCTGCTGCCAAGGGGAGAACACGTTCCTCACGGCGTCCCTGGCGAGCGACTTCTCATCTCGGCCCGCTGTCCTGCCCACTTTGAACCACTAGAGAGCGCTGCCTTACATCTATTTGGGGCCAACGGAGGTGGGAAGGGAGGTGGAGCTGCGTTCGGGTTCCTACAGCTTGATGTTAAATCATCTCCACAAAGAGGGGCTGCTCGGGGGGCATTTAAGGCCAGAGAGAGAGGAAAGGGGGACAGCGGGGAGCTCCCGTGGGTGCTGGCACATGCCATGCAGACCTCAGAGAGGCTGGCAATTGGGTTCAACAATGCCTGCTCCTCCACCTTTACAGGTCGGCATGGAGGAGGTGACAGGGCAGGGTAAGGAGACCGGGTGGTCTCTCCTTTTCAGGTTGTTTGACATCTGCTCTGTGTTCTTGGTTGGTGTCTCGGGCCCTGTTCGGTGTCCGTGCCAGCTTGGTAGGGCCAAGGAGGCCATGAGTCGGGGTCAGGAAACCCAGGCACCCGAGCCACCAGCCGCAGCTGGCAGATTCTCTGTGGGCCTCTTCAAACACAGCTCGCCCCCGTTCCTCGCGCCCCCGCCACAGCCGGGCCACTCACCCGGACGTAGTTGGCGTTGATATAGTCTCCATCCTCTTGGCTCTGTGCCCGGCCTAGACAGACACGGCTCTGGGGATCTAGGAGGTAGAAATCAGGGGAAATCAGAGGCCAAAAGGTGACCACTGCAACTCCAGCGGGGCCGAGAAGAGCAGGTGGCCCGGTACCCACTGGATGACTTTACAGACAGTGAGGAGCCACAGGATGTTTTCGAGCAGTAGAGTGACGCGATCCAAGTGGCATGATTTGGGAAGAGTGGGGGGCGGGGGGGGGGGTGCTGTCCAGCCTGGACCAGCGAGGAAAGGCAACGGAGACGCCAAAACCTAACGGGATGCTGTGGTGGTGTGCTAGCCTTGAGGTCAGTGAGGCTGGAGAATAGGGTTGTGCCCATAGGAGCAGAGAACGGGATGTTGTGGAGGGAGAACGTTTTCTGATGGTGAATGCAGGATTCAGATGATTTGTCTGAAGTCGTGATGGAGAACCGGCCTTAGAACCCAGGTTTCCTACCCCCACTGGGGGTGTCAGCCTCTCCCACTGCAGGCGAGGGCTTTCTCCAGTCCAAGCAGGATGAAGAAGCTGGCTTGTGAGGACAGGAGAGGTGAGGCGAGGAGAGGAGCGGAGCGGAGAAGGGGCTCGCTCTCCCAGCGCCAGCCTGTTCCGGGCAGAGGTAGGCAGGGGGCCAGGGCACCTCAGGCTCGGGGACCTCCCCCTCCCTGGCTTCAGGCTGGCCCTAATTAGGCCAAGAGCAGGCTGCTCCCTCTCCCTCCAGCTGGCTGAGCGCTGACAGCCTTTGACCCAGCCGTGCAGGCAGAGGACCGGGACCGAGGATTCGAATGCAGTGCGAGCAGAGAGCTGAGGCCTCGGCCTGGCCCCTGGCCGTGCAGAGGTGAATTGCCAGATAAGGCTGCCGTGAGGGAGGAAGGGGAGAGAGAGGGAGAGTCCCCAAGGACTCTTCCTCCCGCTGAACAACAGGAGGTGCTGATGCCCCGGTCTGCCAATCTTGCAGGGTCACCTCCTTATAGCTCCGTGACCCCGGTCTCCAGCCTGTCACTGTTCTCTCGCAGACCCTGCCCCGCCTCCATGGAGTTTCTCAAAGCCCTCTCTTGGGGAGCTGTCCCGATGGCAGCTCTTTACTGCAAACCTTTGCTGGGCGTTTCCCATGGGGAAGAGGAGGAAGAAGGTTTGGTGCAACGAGCTGTGCAAGCTTGGGCAAGTTATGCAACTTCTCTGAGACTCAGTTTCCTCGTTTGTAAAATGGGGATAATGACACCATAATACCGACTTCATGGGGTCCTTGTGAGCAGTGAATTACTCTAGGGGACGCTGAGCATGCCTGGCCACGGGAAGCATCTGCACAGGAGAGTGCCTGTCTCCTCGCTGGGGTTATGGTTACTGCTCCTCCTGCCCCCGCACAGGCATGGTTTTGGAATTTCTCTGCTGAAAGAAGATGCTCCAGGGCAGGTGGCTCATCCCTGTCGAGGGCTGTGCGTCTGGCCTTTGGCACCTCTCCAGCCCCAGGGACAGCACCGTCCCCACGGATCCCAGCCACGGTGCTTACTTGGCAAGATGGTCTTGTATCGGTCCTTGGAGGCGTGGCCAGGAATGTCCAGGTCTTCAGGGCTCACAAAGTTTGGGGGGATCTTCTGGCAGGAGGAGGGAACAGTGAACACCCGTCCCCAGGCTCCCCACCCCTTCCACCCTCGTCTAGCAGAGCTGGGCCGGCGGCTCCCTCCTGGCAGGTCAGGATGAGGTGGAGGGCTGAGGAGAGGGCAGGTGCGGTCTACCCCCCTGAGCCCTGAGGTTCTCTTTCCTAAGGGCCCAAGGAGGAGACATGCCCGCAGGGCCCAGGGCAGAACGGTGCCAGCTGCCTCTGACTCAGAGGGCAGAGGGGCTTGGGGGGACCCCGAGTTCTTACCAAGAATTCCTCTTCCAGTTGCTTGGGGCTGGGCGGCTGGTGCTGCAGGGCCCAGCGGGTGAGGGGGTGTCCGGCTGTGCGCAGGAAGTGTAGGGTGACCTCCCGGGGTGTGTTCACTGAGCAGATGGGCTCCACAGCCCCCAGGGACCGCACGTCCAGCATCAGAGCGACATTGGAGCCTCGCCTGCAGGCCCAGAACCGGGGTCCAGTGAGCGCCCAAGCCCGCGGGCTCTTCTCAGTTATTAGGTTGTGGGGCCTGTCCGAGGACGTGGCTGCTTATCGTCCCCTTGACCCCGAGGCCCCGTGAAGTTGAGGGTTCCGGCCCCTGCTGCCTGTCCTTCTCCTTTTGTCAGCCAGAACAGGGCAGCCAGGAACCCCACTGCTGCCTCCCTCTGCCCACCTCTGCCAACCCCCGACCCGGCCCCTAAAGCTTGCACCCACATCCAAACCCAAGATGGCCCTGCTCTGGGGCTGCTCAGCCCATCCTGGTGGATGTGAAACTTCGTGCCCCAGACAAGTAAAGGGCATGTAAACGATGAGCAAGCGAACACATCTGGTCTCTTTCTCAGGTTGGTGTCAACAGCCCAGGGCCCTCTGGACTCAGCGGTCGGAGCCCGAGGGGCAGATGGCGCTGGGGGCTGGGAAGGCCCCCTCCCACGACAGATCTCACCTCTCCTGCAGCCGCACATGCTTCTTGGCTGGCGCTTTGGTGGGTGGAGGCTGGGTCATGGCTGCCTCCAAAGACGAGGGCGGTGCCTGTGCTCTGGAGGGCCCCCCACGGGCCTGGACCATGCTGGGGTGGGTGCAGGGCCCAGGGGAGGCTCACTCAGCCATGGGGTTCACCTGCAAGACAGGGCCCCTCAGCTACTGACCTCGGGCCTGCCCGACTGGCCAGAGGAAGGCTCCCAGGCCCAGGCTGGCCTTCTGCCCCCCGGCACTGGTTTTCACTGGGCGTGTCTTCTGTTCCCCAGGCAGTGGTGTCATTCTCACTGGGGGAAGGCCAGGATCTCCACAACAGGGGGACCCAGGGCGGCAGGCAGTGTTGGGTTAGAGCAAGGGTTCCAGATTGGGGGTGAAGATGGGAAAGAATCCAGAAGGAGGCAGAGAGGGGAGAAGAGGCTGCTGGAGCCCCAAGTGTGGTCCTGGAGGACACACAGCCCTTGTGTTCTGTGTCAACCAGAGGGAGGCCCACAGAGCCTGTCTAGGGCTAGCCGGTGGGCCTTGTCTGAATGGGGAATTTGAGGCCTCTCGCAGCACTGGGGCTGGTCGGGGACCCAGGCATGCCGGGCTACTGGCCCCCCGCGGGACCCGCTCCTAACCCTACCCCTCCCAAGTTCATCCTGGCATCTGGGGTCTCTGTCCAGGGGGTAGGCTGGGGGTGTTTCCTTCCTCCTCTGCCCATCCCCCCGATCTCCCGCCTCTGCAACCGTCACAGGAAATGGCCTCACCAAGCCCTTGGGCGACAGCGCATGGTGAGGCGACAGCTGGGGGCACGCAAGGGGGCACAGAGGTGGTGGGGCCACCTCCTCCCGGGGGACAGCCCCCACCTCCAGGGTCACAGCTCCCCAGGTGGAGGGGGTGTCAGTCGCCACGCCCGCTGGGATGGAAGTGAGGGGAGAGTGTGGCCCTGCAGATGCGCGTGGTGGAGGGAGGCCCCCCCAGGAGCAGGAGGGGGTTCTTCAGCCTCTGCTCTCCTGCCGCCCCCTGCCCTGCCCCTCGGGGACGTCAGCCAGGTCAGCACCCATTCCCCAGCACTGTGGCCCCCGACGTGCCCTCTCGCACCCGCTCCTTGGGGATGCCCTCCCGTCACCCCAGGGGTCCGCAACCCCGGGGCCTGGGACTCCTCCTCCCCCATTCAGGTACTTACTGAAGCAGCTGTGTCCCCCAGGCTGCCTCTTGCCAGCTGTCTGTCTGTCTGTCGGTCTGTCTTTGAGGGCTGAGGAGGCTTCAGGAAGCCAGCTTCCTCCCTCAGCCCCTCCTCGCTGCCACCCACGCACACCCCAGCTGCATGCTGCCCTCCTGCGCCTGCCGCTGCCACCAGGGGTCGGTGCCTCCTGCCTGTGCCCCTCTGGGGTGGGCTGGCCGCGTCCCAGCACCTTCGCCATGGGCCCAAGCCCTGCTGCCTGGGAATGGGTGAGGGGCGACCACGCAGGTGCCCCAGCTCCCAAACTCTCCTCCTTCTGCAGCGTTCCTGTGGGCCTCTGTCACATCCAGCCTCTGCCTGCATGCTGGGCAGAGCTCGGCTGACCCCCGGCTCCAGGCTGTCCCACCAAGAACCCAGGTTGCTCCTGTTGAAGCCGACCTTGGCCGCAGACGAGTCTCCACTGCTCTGCTTCGGCCCCAGAGCCTTGCCCTGGAAGCCCTTGTCCTTTCCGCCATGGGACTTCACGGGGAGCACGGCTGCGTCTCCCCAGAGCGGAGGTGGGCGCAGACCTGAGGTGGGGTGGGGAAGAACAGAGGCAGCAATCCTCGCTCCCCGTGGGAAAGGAAGGCCCAGGCCAGGCCGGAAGGTCATCCCAGGCCTGTGCCCCACCCCAGCTCTCAGCGGCCGCTGTCTGAGACGGTCCAGCCAGCCGGGAAGCAGGCGGCAGAGACAGCCTGACGGACAGTCTGGGGGCCTTTCCCCGGCTCCCAGCCCCTTCCAGGCCTCCTCCCAGAGCCCCGACCTCTAGGTAGAAGACTTACGGAGCGTGGACAGTCTCTGGCCCTCTCTCCAGGGGCCTCCCATGTCTTCTTTGCCGCTGGGGCGCCTGCATGCCTGGGGTCCGGGGAGTTGCCCCCAAGTCCAGACTCTACTGCCCCCCTCTCCCCTGCTGCCTGGGCTCGGCGGGCCCCTTGCTGGCCAGCAGCCCAGAGGTTCATGCTCTCTGCTCGTCTCCTTTCACCTTGCAACGTTCCAAACGCCCTTCCACCCGGCCCCCGACTCGCGCGATCCCTGTCCTCGCTCTGCCTCCCACTTCTCTGATTCAGCCGTCAGACGGTGACAGCAAAGAAGAAATGATGTACAATAGGCACAGGGGGTGGGCACGCGCAGGGGGCGGTGGGGAGGGGCTGGCCTTCCACTGGCCCGTCGGGGAGGAGGGCTGAGATAAAGGACAGGATGACCTGTGGAGCTCTGGCGGTGGGCACTGGGACAAGCCCCTGTCTGAGCCTGGCATCCGTGCTCCCCTGGGGGTGGGGGGGCTTCCCTGAGAGCAGAGCTGGTGTCCGGGACGGGGAGAGAGGGCAGGAGTCTGGGAATGCCTGCTGTCCCTGTGGGAAGTGACTGAGGTTGGCCTCGGCCTCCACCCCCCCACCCCACCCCCACCCCACCCCCAACCCGCTGGTGTTTCCACTAGTGGATAGTGGGGCCCTGGGGATCAAAGAGGGGCAGGAGGGGATGGGAAAGAGGGCCACCCGCTCTGGGCCAAGCTGCTGGTTGTTATCAAGAACAGGAAGCCAGGATACCACAGGGGTGGGGACGAGGAAGTGGGCAAAGCCCTCGCCCCTCTGGCCCACCAGGGCCCCCTAGGTTTCCCTGTCTGAGGCTTATTGGCTGAGGGCATAGCCCTCCCCTCACGAGGCTGCGGTTTGAGGAGCTGGAAGCTGAGCTCTTGGGTGGAGAGCAAGGAAGAGGGGGCAGGAGACGGGGAAGGTGGTTGGGTGGGGGTCACGGTGGGACATCTGCAAGACCCTGAGGAGCTCCCAGTGACCTTGGGTGCATCTGGGGAGGAGGCATAGCCATCCCTTGCCTCCTGCCCGTTCCCTCTCTCCCTTCTGCTGAGAAATGCTGGACATCCGCTGAGGTGTGACCAGGGGAGGCACCACCCACAAGCCTCAGATGGGATAAGACACGTGTCATCATCCTGCAGCCTGGGACATCTCTCTGCCCTCTCTGGGGTGGACTCGGCCCCATCCAGGCTTCTGGGAGGGGGGCGGGGAGGCATAGAGGGCCCTGGGAGTGACTCCCCCTCCAGAACCTTCCCGGTCTCTGGTGTGGAACCGCCAGACAGCTCTCAAACCTTCGTCACTCGGATGGATGATCGGCCTGCCAGCGTTGGGACTTGGTCCCAGCCACCCTCGACTCCAGAGAAAGTGCATCAGTCCTCGAAAGCCAGGAGGACCTGCGTGCGGCCAGTCTGCACTGTGGCTTCTTAGTTGTGTGACCCTGGGGAAGTGACGGAACCGCCCTGAGGCTGTATCCTCATCCGTTCTCCCTTCCCAGGGGTGAGGCCAGCGCCTGCCTCATGTCAGGAGTTCTGAGTCCTGCGAAGTGTCTGCACCGGCCTGACGGTGCTCCGGAGCCATCGGCTGCCAGGGCTGCTGTGGGAGGGGGGCCGGGGCAGCGTCTGGGTGTGAGTCTCATCTCTCTGCAGACCCCCGTCCCCACTGCCCACCCTCTCCAGCCAGCCTTCAGGGAGGGCTGCCCAGCACACCACCTCCCTCCCCCAGTCGCTCCCCAGTCCCAGGGCTGCGAGCCACACCTCCCTGTCCGCAGTGTGAGAAGCCCCTCAGAGGGGCGGGTTATCCGGGATTCTCAGAAGTCCTTGCTCAGCACAAGGGAGCAGGCCAGGCTGCTGCCAGCCCAGTCAAAGGCTGCCACCCTATAAAATTCCAAAGGGGGATCTCGAGGACAGGGTCAGTCACTGAGGCCAGGACTCCTGGGTCCTGCACACTCCCCGTGTCCTGTCCCCCTCCTTGGCCTTCCCCCTTCCTCTCTGGAGAAGCCCTAGGCTACCAGGTCCTCCGACCCCCCCCAACTCCTGGGCCAGCCCAGGCCGGCTTCCCCGCCATGTTTATGGGCCCCAGTGTGTCCCTGCTGTGTGGGGGAGACAGAGACACAGAGAGCCGGGACCCGGGGCGGGGGCTGGGGGCTCGCCCAGGAGGAGGCAGGGGGACGTGGGAGGAGTCTCACAGTGAGTGGGGCAGAGAAGTGCTGTTAGGAACGTGGGATGAGCCTGGGCCGGCAGGGAGCGGGGAGGCCTCTGGGCGTGTCCTGGGGCCCTATCTCTGTGGGCCACCCGGAATGCCCAGCCCTCTCCCGACCCAGTTTCCATGACCCCTTCTGGGTGCCTGCTGGTGAGGGGGCTTTCCCCTACCTAGCCCCCCAGCCGAAAGACCAGTCACTCAGGCCAGCTGGGCACCAGGGGAGCCAGGCCAGCCTGCCGGGAGCTCCAGCGAGGAGCTCCGCTCTCTGCCGGGTGGCTGGACCTGGTCCCCGGCAGGAGGACTTTAGGACAGAAGAGAGTCTCTCCCTCTCTCCCAAGCCCAGAGCCGGCAAAATGGCCATCTGTTCCCCAGCAGGACCTTTTCTTCCCAGGGGAACCTCCTGTCCCCCCTGCCCCTCCGTGATGTCCCTGGATGCCCACACATGCACATTCATCCAGATAGGTGTGCGCACCCTCACGGATCGCCGTCCACACACATGCCCAGGCTGCCGGCACACGCGTGCACAGCTCCTCACAGTCCTTCTGCCTTCCCACAGCCTGGTCAGCGGGCCCTGGGCCTCCCTCTCCAGTGACCTTCCCCAGAGCGTGGGAGGAGGACTGGGAGACTGGGCAGTCCATGCCAGCCCACCCCTCCTGCCTGGTGGTTATCTTCCCCAGCGTGGGGAGGCCCGACGCAGGCCCGGGGAGAGCCGGTCAGGGGCCTGGGCCAGCCGCAGGAGAGCCCAGGCAGGCTCACATTTGGGAATCAGGACGTCTGGACCCATCCCCTGCCCTCCTCTGCCTCCGGGCTGGCTCCTTCTAGAAGGAGTCAGTAGGTGCTCCGAGATCTGGGGAGGAACCGGGGTTCCCCAGGCAGAGGGTGTGGGTTTGTCTGTGTGAGCAGCTGCTGGAGGGGACATAGCCCGTGGGAGGTTGTTTGCTGAGTGGAGAGGCCTGGGCTGGGGGGTCTGTCGCTTCTGTCAGAGCCTTTCTGCACCCTCCCTGAGCCCCCCTCCTGTCCCCAAGGTGGCCCCAGGCTGGCAGGTGGGCCTTCGCTGTCCACAGGATGAGCTACGGAGTCTGCATGGTCCCCTCTTTGTGAGGACTCTTGGGAAGCGTCTGAGCCCCCCCTTACCTGCAGCCACGTCTTACTGCATCTCTTCTACTTAGATTCTGAATTAGGATGTCCCACCCCACTCCCTGCCTTCACTGGGGCTGATGGGGACACTACCAGAAAGAGCACAGTGAGGTGCCCCCAGGTCAGGCGGGATGGGGGGCAGCTCAGCCAGACTGGGACCTCCTCCCTCTCACGTTGGTTTTCCTAGTTTCTCTCCCCCTACCTCTTTTGAAAGAGCACATGCGTGCACAGATACACATGTGCACACACACACACGGCCTAGAAAATCTGATGAGTCTGCAGGCCGGAATTTCCAGGCCCCCATCCAGGGGCCAGTGGGCGGCTCTGAGGTTTGGGCTGGGTGGAGCAGGGCGCGGCAGGCGGCCCCTGGGTCTGGCCTGAGCTGATCTCTGTGCAGCCTGTCCTCCCACAGGGCTGGCCCTGGCTCCCACAGAAGGTGTCTGGGGTTCAGAGTCTCTCCACCTGCCTGTTTTCTGCAAATTTCCCCTCTCCACTTCCTGAGTTAGTGTCTGAGTCCTGGCTTCTTTCCCAGGGCCCGGAACCTCCTTCTCCTCCTTCTCTTCCTGTTCTCCCTCCCTTGCATCTGTCTTGGGGGGCCACACAGTGGGCAGCTCGAGGTGAGGAGCTGTCTCTAGGCAGGGGTGAAGCCTCAACCCCTCCGTCCTCTAGGCCGGGCCCCAGGTGGGCTCCCCCGGCCTTCGCAGCACCTGCCACCAGGTGGGGGTGGGGGATGGGGAGGCGGATGGGGAGGGCATCTCTATCGAGGAAGGCAAGCACAAACCCTAGGGACGTGAGGGGCTCCTTGGAGCGTTCTGAGCTGAGAGGATCCCAATTTGGGGGCTCAGAGCAAGGTTTGCCATCTCTGCTCAGTGGGACCAGAAGGCCCAGGTTCAAGTCCAGCTCCTCTGCTCACAGGCTCGGGGCCCTGGGCTGGGCTCTCCCCTCTCTGGGTGTCAGCCCCCTCATCTGGGCAGTGAGGGCGTGGGACCAGATGGTGCCAAGTGCCAGGTGGGCTCTTCCAGACCTGCATTCCCTGAATTGAGGCCTTTAGGGTGTGTTCCGGTGCCTCTGTCCCCAGGAGCACCGGGACACCCGGATACGCAGAAGGGGCCGCGCCCTCAGAGCTGCTCCATCCACCCAGCTCACAGCAACACACAGCACACAAGGTCACCGGGGGCCCCCTCTCCCCAGGAACACAAACACCCCATGGGTCTCCCACGTGCCAGCAGAGTCCACAGTTCTCTTCCAGGGTCCAGGAGTGTGCAGCCAGCTGCCACTGGTATTGTGTCCACTTGCGAGGCCATTCCTCCTCTTGGTCTTCCTCAGAGAACAGGACATCTTGCTCAGAAAGCCAGCTGCTGGAAGGGGGTGGAGGTGGGGGAGGCACAGGGAGAGGGGGGATTGTCTGAGCCTGAGAGTTGAAATCCCCTTGCACCTTCTGGTCCCTGAGCCAGTCCCGTCTCTCTCCCCTCACAGAGCCCTGCCAGGCCGGGCGGGGTGGGGCTCGGGGTCTGGTGTTGAGAGGCAGCCCCTTGCTCTGGCTGCCTGCCGTCTGCCTGAACCAGCCTTGCCTCCCTTGCCAGCCAGCCAGTGGGGCGAGGGGAGAGTTGAGGGGGTGCTGGTTCCTCCCCTCGCCTCCCAACTTTCCTTTGCAGTCTTGGGGATGAGGGCCCCAGTGCTGCTCGCTTCCCTCCTCTGGCTCTGGGCCTTCTTGGCCAAGGTGAGGTGGGCTTTGGGTCCAGGTGGGTGGGGCCGCTGCTCTCCAGGGCTGGTCCAGCCCTCCCACCTCTCTGAGGGCCCCACAGCTGGACTGCATTATCCAGAACAGAGGCCGCCCCTTCCCACCCACCAGCAGGCAGGACCACGAGAACAGTCTGCCCTCGCCTCGGGCTGCCTCTGGCACCTGAGTGTGCCTGCCCCTGAAGCCCCTTTGGCCCTGTCTGCGGGGGGTGTCAGGCAAGAGGACAGCTTCCCTCTGATCCCAGCCTGTCCCCACTGGCTTTCACAGAGGCCTGGACCCCAGAGGCCTCTGCCAATCTCCCCCTCACCACCTCCTTCCTACAGGAAGACGAGTGCCGCTCCGTGGAAGGGAGCCCAGCCCGGGAGTGTGGAGGTAGATGTCTTCAGAGGGGAGGAGGTCTGGGAGGGAGGGGGTCTAGCTGGGAAGAAGGGAGTCTGGGAGGGAGGGGGGTCCAGGGCCAGCCTCTCCATGCAGACCCTGCCTCTACTCTGTCCCATTTGCCTTGCCTCCCTCTTTGGGGCAGAAGGGGTGCTGGGAGATCCAGAATGCTCCCCCTTTTCCCCAGGACCACCTCTGAAAGTCAACGTCAGCAGCCAGGGGAGACCGACCAGCCTCTCTCTGAGCTGGGCAGCCCCAGAGCCAGGCCGTTTCAGCCACGCCCTCTGCCTCACCTGCCTGCACCCCCTCGGCTCTCCTGAAGGGCAGCCGCTCCAGGTCCACACCAATGTGTCCAGCTTTGAGTTCCAGGGCCTGGTGCCAGGAAGTCGCTACCAGCTGGAAGTGACCACCCTGCGACAGTGTGGGCAGAATGCCACTGTCACCCTCACTGTCTACACTGGTGTGTGGCCTGCAGGCTGAGAGGGGTTTTACAGGCATTGCCCGGTGTCTGAGAAGGAAGTGGCTGCCCTGGAGGGCTGCCGAGGGGCAGGGTAGCCAAGACGTCAGTGTCTCCGAGGACCACGCAGGGTACAATGGCCCACTCAGAAGGAGAGGGTGATGCCCCCAGGTCCTGAAGTGGGTGCTTCCCTCCCTCCGATGCAGCCCCATCAACCGTCTGCCACCTGCAGCTCCATAGCCCTGGGAGCCCATCCAGCCTGGAGGCCTCGTGGGGTGCTGCCCCAGGGGTGCAGGATGGCTACCAGCTTCTCCTCTACCACCTGGAGTCCCAGACATTGGCACGGAATATCTCTGTGCCCCCAGGCACCCTGTCCTACAACTTTAGTGACCTGCTACCAGGTAGCAAGTATGATCTGGAGGTAACCGTCTGCGCTGGCCACCTCCAGGGGAAGACCAGTGTCCAGCAGTGGACAGGTGAGCAGGCCCTTGGCAGGGGCCCAGGTGGCTGCTGATCGGGGAGGGGTGGGGCCATCCAGAGCTCCTGGCAACCACGTCCCGGCATGGCTGGGCTTCCTGGCTCCCTGCTGTGGGGGTCTGCACCGGGATCCTGCTCCAGGGTCCTCTCTCCAGCTTGGGTTCGCCCTCTCCATCCTTCCTGCAGCCCCCCTGTCTCCGGATCAGCTGGTGCTCTGTGCTCTGGGCACCAGTGCACTGCGAGCCACCTGGACGGGTCCTGCGGGCGCTGGCTGGCTACACCTGGTGCTCACAGACCTCCTGGGTGGCACCAGTCAGACCGCGGTGGTCAGACGGGGGGGTCTCCAGTCACACCTTCCTCCACCTCTCTCTGGGCACCTGCTATGAGTTAGTGCTCAGCACTGCTGCTGGGCCCCATCGGGTAGTGGGGCCCAATGCCACCGGGTGGACCCGTGAGTGCCTTGGGCGTAAGGGGACACAGCCGAGGTGCCTCAGCTCTTCTCCTCTGGCCAAGTGGGCAGGATACAACCGGGTGGGGAGTGGGGGGTGCAGAGGGGTCCTTTGGAATCCTGCAGGGCAGGAATGAGGCTCTGAAGGAGTGCCCTGCCTGGTGGCTGGTGGTGGTGTCCACCTGAGGAGGTGACGGTGGTGTCATGTGGACCTCTCTGTGTCCCAGCCTCTGTGCTGTCGTCTCATTTAATCCTCACACAGCCTCATGTAATCATGTCATCCCCACTCTGGTAGAGGGAGCTGGGGTTCAGGTTCCAACCCTTTCTGTGGCCCTGCTCCAGGTGCCATGAGCCTCACGCCCTGCGTGCCGGTCCAGGAATCTTCCAGTCCTTATGTAGTTGTCTCCGTCAGCTAGTGGGTGGCAGGCACCGTGAGGGGCGCTGGGGATCGATGGCATGACCCCACCTTTGGGGACCTTGCTAGGTGCCCCGTCAGGACCTCACTCTCCTGCTCACTGTCCCCAGTCTGGCACCCCCCAGCGTTAGCCGCAGCCCCCAAGCTGGAGCCTGAGCCAGGGATGGGAGTGATGGTCACACAGGGCATGTTTGGGAAGGACGATGGGCAGATCCAGTGGTACAGAGTCACTGCCAACACTAACACGTCACGTGAGTCCTGGCCCCCGAGGGCCTGAGTGACCCTGGCCACTGCCAAGCAGGGCGAGGCTGAGGGGTCGGGCATGGAGGCTGAGGAGGTGAAATGCCTGGGGCCGGCGTGAGTCTCCGAGCGGGAAGCGGGGCCCGGCATGTTCTTGAAGATGGGGCTGACGGTGCATCATGAGTTGTGGGAGAGTGCTGGAGGAACGGGGTACCCTCTGCGGAGGAGGGAGGCCTGGGCCCCACTGCCAACCCTGCCTGGCCCCTTCGCTGTTTCTCTTCTCTCTCCCAGTGGCTCGGCCTCCCCGGGAAGCCCTCAACTGCACATGGTATGACCACTACTATGGAGATCAGGACTCCTACCTAGTCATCCTGCTCCCCAACCCCTTCCCTCCGGGGCACTGGGCTGTGCTGAGATCCTGGAGGTGCCTGTGGGCACGGAGGACTGTGGGCAGACCCAGGAGATATGCAATGGGTGGCTCAAGCCGGGCTCCCAGTATCGGTGAGGGCTAAGGCCGAGGGGAGGGGCAGCCGCTGTAAGTTTCGGTTGTGGGTTGTTCACACGTTCTCTCAACAAAAGATCTGGACTGAGTTGCAAAGAGAAAGCACGTACTGGTCCATAAGGGTCAATAGAGTTATTTTGACTGGGTTTCCTGGTAGACAAGGCGAAAAGGGGAACCACCATCTGTCAGATGTTTCTTTTTTTGGAGAAGAAGGGGGGAGGGGTGCTGTTTCAGCTTGCCAGGGTGATGCCGAGGATGTTTAGACACCTCCTTGCTCTCAGAGTGGGGCAGGGAACGCAGAAGAGAAGCTAGGGTAGCTTGTTCTGAAGTTTCAGGTAGCTCTAAACAGGTGAGGGGCTCTCATCTTTGAGGCTCCGTTGCTTGTGACTGAGTTGCCCTCTCTGCCTGCCCCTCCCCAGCAGAAGCTCCTGTCTCTCTGCCCCAGGTTCAGCGTCGTGGCCTTCACCAGACACAGCACTCCTAAGACTGTTCTCTCGTTCTCGGCCTTCTCAGGTAGGGCGGGCACCCAGCCAGGGTTCCAGCTGGGCGCTGGGGTGGGCGGAGCACTGGGCCCTCGTGTGAGGCTCGTCCCCAACCAGCCGCAGGAGGCTCTGAGCCGAGACTGCGGGGAGCACATGTCCCACCTCGCAGAGCTGGAGGCCCAGACCAGAGATGAGGGGCTCCGGGCCCCAGGCTCGGCCCGGGATCGGAGGGATGGGGCAGGAGAGGCAGGGGCCCGGACCGTGGCGGCCCACCCTCCCTGCCCTGCCCTCTGTGCCCGCTGCTCCCAGGCCCTCGAGCTTCTGGAGCAGCGCTGTCCAGTGGAAGCTTAAGGCAGGCCACCACGTGAACCACAAATGTCATTTAAAATTTCCTAGTAGCTACGTTAAAAAGGTAAAAAGAAAGACGTGAAATTAATTTTAGTAACATTTTATTTAAACCAAGATATCAAAATTGCTATATCAAGGGGCTGGCCCCGTGGCTGAGTGGTTAAGTTCGCACGCTCCGCTGCAGGCGGCCCAGTGTTTCGTTGGTTCGAATCCTGGGCGCGGACATGGCACTGCTCATCAAGCCACACTGAGGCAGCGTCCCACATGCCACAACTAGAAGGACCTACAATGAAGAATCTACAACTATGTACTGTGGGGCTTTGGGGAGAAAAAGGAAAAAAATAAAATCTTTAAAAAAAAATGCTATATCAATATGTGATGCGTTATTTTAAATGATTGAGATATTTTACATCCTTTTTTTTTGGTCAAGTCTGAGATCCTGAGTGTATTTTACGCTGAGGGCAAGTCTTAATCTGGAGCAGCCACATTTCACGTGCTCCATACCCACATGCAGCTACCACACTGGACAGTGCATTCTGGAAGGTCCAGGAGGCCAGGCCTCTCCCTTCTTTCCTTTCTTTGAGGGTGTCAGGGGACGGAGTGGGGTCTTTGGGGCGGGCTCGGGAGTGGGGCATGGAGAGTTTGCCATGTGTTCTCCAGGGTGGTCCCCCTGGCAGCCATCTCTGGCCTCGGTTTGGCATCTGGGACTTCTGGCTTGTCACTGTGCCCTCCCCCCAGAGGGTCTGAAGTCCAGCAGAGGCTGGCATGTCTGCAGGACAGTGGGACAGGCTGCCATGTTCCGCCCTGCCCTCCGTAGAGCCCCGGATTGGTGTCTCCCGGGCAGCAATGCCCCCCACAGCGGCGGCGGGCATCGTGGTGGCTGGCGTCCTCACCGTCTGTGCTGTGCTGGGCCTGTTGTACTGGAGGCGGGTGAGGGGGCAGAGGTGAGTGGGAGGGAAGGCTGGGGCCAGCGTGGCTGGGGGAGGAGGACCCCGTTCCCCAAGAGGCCAGCCCACCTTCTGTCCCCCCGGGGCTGCCTCCCACAGCCTCTTCACCCTCAGCAGAGAAGAGAAGAGCTGCTTTTCCCACGAGCTGACAGCTTACAGCCTGCGGCCAGCGCGTGTTCCGCCCCTCCTGACGGCCTGGTGTGGTGGCAGGGGCGCCCTGCCCGGCTCAGGTCAGGGGACGTGGCCTTCTCCCTGGGGCTGCATCCCAGACGGCCCGCAGGCCTCTGCCAGCCGCACTGTGCTTCCTCGGCCACCTGCACACTTTCGTCACGCCTTTGCCAGGGCCCTTTCTCCAACTCTTGGAGCTCCTGGCTGCTGTCCACCCTGGAGTCTCCTCTCCCTCCCTCACCTCCTCCCTCCTCTCTCCTCTCCCCTCCTCCCCCCCTCCCCCAAACTCACCCACTCCAGTCCTTACCTTCTCCCTGACTAACCACTTGGATCTATCAGACCAGTCTCTTTCTTTTCTTTCTTCCTCTCCCGAGGGGCTCTCTGCTGGCCGGGGTCACTGGCCCGGGGCTCTGGAGGGCAAGGGCTATAACTGTGCCCTCTGCTCACTCCTGCCCTCCCTGGATTGACTCCATACTGAGCCGACATTAGTGAGTACGGCTGTGCACAGAGCCCTCCTTGGGACCCAGGAGAGCTCCAAGGCATGACTCACTCCTGCGTCCCCCTGTGGCCTGTCTGCCCCACCATCTTCCCACATCGGTGGTGGCATCCTGGGCCGTGCGTCGGGGGACCTGCTCAGCGTGCTGGCTCCACTCCGGGGAGTGGGACCCGGGGCTGTGCTCCCAGCAGCTCCCAGGTGATCAGGTCGTGCAGCCAGGCCCGTCCCCACCACCCACCTGGGCGCAGGGCAGGACTGCACACCAGGCCGTGGGCCCACTCCCCGCCCTCCCGCCAGGTGCTCCCACTGGCCAATCCCCGTCCACAGCTTCTGGCAGAGCTACGAGGCCAAGAGCGTGCATGCCCACCGGGCTTTCTTCCAGGAATTTGAGGTACGGCCTCAGGGGTCCTCAGGCCCAGAGCAGGGAGGGCCGCAGGCACCTAGGGGGCCTGGACCTGCCCTGGAGGTGGGGGGGATCTCCCAGCTGTGCACGCCCCCTGCCCCTCTCCCAGGGTGGGGTCAGCCCCCAGCATCTGCCCCCAATCTCTGCAGGAGCTGAAGGAGGTGGGCAAGGAACAGCCCAGACTGGAGGCCGAGCTCCCCGCCAACACCGCCAAGAACCATTACCCACACAAGCTGCCCTGTGAGCGCCGGGCCAGGGCGGCGGGCCAGAGGGGCTGCGTGTGCCAGGCACTGACCGCTCGGCTTCACCCTGTGCAGATGACCACTCCCGGGTGTGGCTGGCCCCGCTGGAGGGAGAGCCCCACTCGGACTACGTCAATGCCAACTTCCTCCCGGTAAGGCCGCCTGCGGGAAGGGCTCTCTGCGGGGCGTCTGCCGGGGACACGGGCTGTTGGCAGGACGTGCCTCTTCTCCTCCACGAAGGTCACCAGCTGGAGTTTCTGTAGGTCGACCTGGCAGGTGGTTCCTGAGGGCCTGCCGTGTGCCAGGCCCCACGTCAGGCCCACAGGAGGCAGGGCCAGCTAACCGAATTCCCACCTTCAAAGAAGCTTGTATGTGTGTGTGTGTGCACGTGTGTGCAGGTGTGTGTCACACCTACCAGCAATGTGAGGAGTGCTGGAACCAGCACAGTGCTCAGGGCACGTGGAGGAAGGAGGAACTGAGTCTCCGAGGTCTTGAAAAGGCCTCCACTGATCTCCTGAGGACGAGCAGAATTCTAAGTGTTGAAGGAGAGAAAGGACATGCACAGCCCGTGGCGGGGTGTCCAGGCGTGTGCGGGGTGAGCGTGCAGTGGGGGGACGTGAGACAGCAAAGGCTGAGTGGGGCTAGATGAGGGAGCTGGCTCGTCAGGCTGAGGCTTCAGGTTTCTCTGGAGGGCAGTGGAGGAAGCACAGAGTTTGATTCAGGAAGGTTGGCAAAGAGGGTGACCTGGGGACAGCACTTCTGCTATATCTCGAGTTGTCTCGTAGGGTTTTCTTGCCCCATCCAGGTGGGGCTGGGGTGTGGTGGTGTCCCCGAGGCCACCCCTCCTGATGTGAATCCTTGGTGCACACGTGTGTTGGCATGTTTGCACACGCCGACGCAGAGACGCTGCTCCTCCCTCCTGGAGATCATGCGTGGGGTATTGACTGCCTCGTGCTTGGTGGGGCCCAGGGGACCCAGGTGTCACCACTTCCTGTGCTCCTGACCTCCGCCCCCACAGGGCTATGCCCACTCGCAGGAGTTCATCACCACGCAGGGGTCCCTCAAGAAGACTCTGGAGGACTTCTGGCGGCTGCTGTGGGAGCAGCAGGTCCGCATCATCGTCATGCTGACCGTGGGCATGGAGAACGGGAGGGTGAGTGCCCCGCAGTCTCCAGAATGGCCACCAGGGGGCACGTGCGCTCCTTGCAGGAATGGGGGGGGGGGGGGGGGGGGGTCCAGGTCTGGGAGGGTGGGTCAGGCGGAACTGAGGCCGGACCAGTGAGGTTGGTGGGGTCCCCAAGGCCACCCAGGCAGGGGAGGCAGCGCGAGGGCCCAGGGACTCCAGCTCCTGGCTTGACCCAGTTTCCGTTGGCCTCTGCCACTGCTCAGTGTGTCCACTGGCTCCGGGTGGAGATGGGGCCGGGGGTTAGGAGACAGGGCTGGTGAGGGACGACTGCCCCAGGGTGGGCACCTGCATCCTCTCTTCCGACAAGCCCGAGGGGCCTCCTCTGTGTCCTGCTCCGTGCAGGGCTCTGGACAGAGAACGCTGGTTGGGTCTGTCCTGCTGTTGGAGCCGTGAGGCTGGGTGGCCCTCAGTAAGGCCAGCCAGTTTTCCAAAGGGACCCGGCAGCTGCTGAAGTCCTTGGGGTCAGACGAGAGGTCTGGGGGAGGTGGCCTGGGAGCTGTGCAGACTGTCCGCAGACCCAGGAGGACGGGTGGGAGGGTTGGGGCCACCACCGCCCCCTCCACTCTACCCTCGGCCCCAGGTTCTGTGTGAGCACTACTGACCGGCCGACCCCACCCCTGTCACCCGCGGTCATGTCACCGTCCACCTCCTGGCCAAGGAGCCCCAGGACGAGTGGACCACGTGGGAGATCCTGCTACAGCATGTGCGTGCCCCAGGGGATGGGACAGGGTGGGTGGGGTGGGCATCTGAGCTGAGACCCTTGGGGAAGAGTACCCCACCTCCTGGGTCCCTGGGCCTCCTTCCTTCTGAGATTGTAGGCACCCGGCACTGCCCAGGGCAGTTGGTGGCTAGGGAAAGTATGGGGGCACAGAGAGGGTAAGGGTCTGCTTGAGGTCACACAGTGAGTCAAGGCAGAGCAGGTGAGAAGTGAGGGTTCCTGCCCTGCCCTCAGGGCTGGCTGCTTCATCTTGAAGCCTCGTGTCCCATCTGCCTTCCCAGGCTGTGCCTCCTGGGGCAGGAAAGCCAGGGACCAGCATCGCCCCTCTGCCTGGGTACCCTCCAGGCAGGGACCACCCAAGAGGCTGGAGAAGGAGCCAAGGGAAGCATCCAGGCTGAGGGAGGAGGCACCAGTCCTGTCCTTGGGGGTCACCCAGTCTGAGAGGGGAGGCACCAGTCCTATCCTCGGGCGTCTGATGAAGAAAGCTGAATGACTAGGCCAGGGACCCTGGGGTCAGGAAGATGAGGGGAAGCAGCGGCCCCTCCACCCTCCCCACCTCGGATGGCCCAGCAGCAGCCACGGAGGGTGAGACAGCTGCAGTTCACCACGTGGCTTGACCACAGTGTGCCCGCAGCCCCTAGCTCGCTGTTGGCCTTCGTGGAGCTGGTGCAGGAGCAGGTGAGGGCCTCCCGGGGCCCTGGGCCCATCCTGATGCACTGCAGGTGAGGCTGGGTCGGAGGCTGCCTGGCCTGGGTGGGGGGGGCTCAGGATGGGGTGTGGGGGGGTGTGTGGCCGTGGCAGCCCCTCGCCCCTGCAGCTGCCCCATTGTCCCCACCGTGCGGGTGTCGGCCGCAGCGGCACCTTCGTGGCCCTGTTGAGGCTTCTGCAGCAGCTGGAGGAGGAGCGGGCGGTGGACGTGCTCAACACAGTGTACACGCTGCGGCTGCACCGGCCCCTCATGATTCAGACCCCTGTGAGGGCTCAATATGCCGGGACCCCAAGAAGGTGGGTGGGAGGTGGACGGCCAGGGGACCACAGGTCTGAAGGGAGCAGGGGAGGAAGCTCACAGAGGACCCGGGGAGGAGGGGCTGGAATATGGCACCACCTGCCAGGCTTCTGTGTCCCTTTTGTGGAAGAGGATGTGGGGCCGGGGGGCCGGCGGGCTGCCCGCTTCCACCCTCTGGGATGCACGGGGCGGCTCCCAGGGGCTCCTCCAGCCTCCCTCCCTCCCCCGCCCACCCCTGTCTTGCTGGTTGGGCCTGGAGACTCCTTTGGCGTCAGACCACTCCTCCCCCCAACAGCCAGTACATCTTCCTGCACAGCTGCCTCCTGAACAAGATTCCGGAGGGGCCCTCGGACCCCTCTGAGTGAGTCGCAGCTCCCCAGGCCCTTGCCAGGTGGGGTGCAGGACCCCATGCCCTCCCACCGACCGGCTTCTGACTCCTGTCCACAGCAGAGCGGAGAGCACTCGCTGCCAGAGCTGGGGACCCTGTGGTGCCCTCGGCCCTCCCCACCCCCTCCCCAGGCTCCAGCCCATCACCGCGGCCAGCTTCACCCAGGCGTGCGCAGAGAGGGCGGCCAACACCAACGCCGGCTTCCTGCAGGAGTACGAGGTACACTCGGGCCTGTGGGGGCAGTGAGAACTGAGGCAGCTGACACCCCACCTGGCGTGCCCTCCCACGGACTCTGCCCAGGCCCAGGTGTGTGTCTCTTCCAGCTCCTGCTCCAGGTCATCGGGGATGAGGCTGGCTCTCTGATGCCCTGCCCTGGCCGTGAGCAGGACAGCACTGTCCCCTGTGAGTGCCGTGGACAGCATGGGTGGCCAGGGTGCTGGGTGGGGACACTGGCAGTCTCACATTCCATCTTTCCTCAGACGCCCATCCCCAGGTGGAGGAGACCCCCTCTCACGAGATACCGGAAGCCTGGCTCTTCCCTGTGAGATGATGACCTGTGGCCCTCTCTGACGGCCTGTGCTTCCTGGCCTGGGGCTCTTGGGGGCCCTAGAGCTGCGGGATGGGCAGGGGACACCCTCAGTGCCTGGGGCCAACGAGCTGTGCTCTGCAGGGCGGGCCTTCTGGCCGAGACCACGTGGTGCTGACTGGCCCCATGGGCCCAGAGGAGCTCTGGGAGCTGGTATGGGAGTGTGGGGCCTGTGTGCTGGTCTCCCTGTGCCTGCCTGACGCCGGGGAGAAGGTGAGGGAGCAGAGGGACAGAGGATGGGAGGCCTCAGAGCTGGGGCGGGGTGGGGGGTTGGAGGTGCGGCCTGTGATCGGGGGGTGGGGGGGGCGTGGGGGGGGCGGGGTTAGAGATATCGGGGAGCTGCCGCTGGAGCAGCCCTGACTTGGTCCTGCCCAGGAGTCTGGCCAATGGAGAAGCAGCCCATAGCCCTGCATGTGGTGACAGTGCGCTGGGTGGCTGAGAGCAGCATGGCAGGCTGGCCCTGTACCCTCCTCAGGGTCACATACGTAGGTCCCCAGGCCGTGGAGGGAGAGATGTGTGGGACAGAGTGCTGTGCCCTCCCCAGCGCCAACGCCTGGCGTTCTTGCCCCCAGGGTGAGAGCGGGCAGGAGAGGCTGGTGCAGAGCCTGCAGCTGCCGTGCTGGGAGCCGGGGCATGCCCTCCCTGCCACCACCCTGCTGCCCTTCCTGGCCGCTGTGGGCCAGTGCTTCTCGGGGGACACGGAGAAGCCGGGCACGCTGCTCAGCCACTCCAGGTGCTGTTGGACAAGGGTCTGGGGGAGCAGGCACCAGCGCCCCCTCATTGTACCTCCGGCAGGCCCTCATGTCTCCTGAGCCCTGCTTGGGTCCTGGGTCCAGACGACACAGTCTCTCCGCGCTCCCTCTCTCCTCTCCCTACCCTACACCCTTTCTGGATGTGACATCTTTTTGGAGTTTATCCTCCCTGCCTGGGCGCAGCCTGGCTCACCAGGGGCCCAGGGTGCCTCCCCAGCCCCCTAGACCCAGGTTGGGTCTCCCCACAGACCTGGGGCCCTTCATCCTCCCTCCCCCAGGGACCTGGTCCAACTCTAGGCCAATTGCAGCCACGATGCGGCCCCACTGGACACCTTCCTGGCCATGGCCCAGCTGCTGCAGCAGGTGGGGGCTGAGGGCACAGTGGACGTCTTCAACGTGGCCCTGCAGCAGTCACAGGCCTGTGGCCTCATGACCCCGACGCTGGTGAGAGGTGGCCAGGGGCTGGGCTGTGGCGTGGGGGAGGGGTGGGAGGGTGGGGAGGGGGCGCACTTTCTGCCCCTTCTGTGGGCGGCCTCAGGGTGCACTGTCCGGGCAGCCGCCAGGTGGTGCTGTGGACCACAATGCTCTCACATGTACAGGGCTGGGACACGGGGCCTTCTGGTTGGATGGGGCAGCCTCCTTACCCTGCGTCCACCCCAGGAGCAGCACATCCACCTCTTCAACTGTCTGAACCAGGCACTGCTGGACGGGCTTCCCTGAGTCTCTCATGAGGCCGTGCAGGAGCAGAGGAGGCCTGTGCCCACCAGGCAGTGAGGGCCAGCCAGGTGGGCCGGCCAGGCTGGCCTGCTCGGGCCTGGCTTCCCTGGGGCTATGCTGTGACGGGGCAGAGTTGGGAATAAAGGATGTGGTCCAGGCTGAGGCTGAGTGTGCCCATCTGTCACCCCCTGAGGAAGAAAGAGACGGCCTCAGAGATGCTTGCGGGATGTGGGGCCCAACGCGAGGGCCCGGTGGGCAAACCCGAGCAGGGCTCAGCCGGGGCTGGGGTCTGGCTGAACTGGTTTGTCCTTGAGGGCAGCCCCTAGCCCCCATCCTCCTGTGTCCTCAGACTTTAGTCTCCTGGGGTGCCCTGGGTTCAGAGCCCCAGTTACCCATGGTGCCCCCTCCATGCAGTAAGGCTGACCCTGTTTCTGGCTTCCTTTCTGCTGTCCCCAGCTAGCTCCACCTACTGGTGTCCCCAGGGGCCACCTCAACCATGGCCTGTCTTCCTACCAGGGTGCTCACGGGAGCCACACCGACTTGGAAGTCAGGAGCCGTATGCAGTCTTCTCTGCTCCTCTGCTCTCCTCCTTGCTCCCTCTGCAGAGGAGGGAGGTGAGAGAGAGAGAGTGAGGGGGTGTGGGGGAGGGAAAGACCAGGAGGAACAGAGAGCAAGCAGGAGGGTGGAGATGTGGCGGGGCGGGGCGTGACGGGGGGGGGGGGGCACACGGGGAGGGGATGGTCTGTCCCACATGCAATGGACGGAACCATGCACCATGTGACGGGATTGCAATGGCCTCCTGAGCTCCTGCTGTCCCCGATCAGACAGCACAGTTCTGGATGGCAGGGTGCCCAGAGCTAGACACCGATTGTCAGGTGGAGGGCCCTCGGGGACACAGAGAGCCTGGACCAGTTGGAGGCCCCAAAATGCAGTTAGACCCCCAAATGAGGAGGCCGACCTGAGCTCCGGTGAAGTGCAGGCGGTCAGGGGTCAGGGAGGGCCCTTCTCGGGCCTGGCTGGAGAGTGGGGCTGTCCCAGAATGAGGTCAGGCTCTGGGGGCCCCTCAGGGGACTGAATGTCATGTCCTCTTCAGACTCTGTGCTTATCAGGAATTGGGGGCTGGCCCCATAATGACCCTCAGGTAGGCAGGATGGAGGCTCAGCTCTGAGCTGCCACACCCACCATGAGGGAGTGTTACTGAGGTCACAGCCCAGCTCGAACATGGCTTTTCGTGCCTGGGCCCCCATGCTGGACAGGGAGCTTCAAACGGTCCGGGGAACGGGGCCAGAGCAACGGGCAAGTGAGGCTGTAGGGGCAGGCGGATCTGGGGAGGTAGGGCGGCTCCCATCTGTGTGCCTTGCCAGTGATGGGAGCCAGGTGTCCCTGTAGGGCCGTCCTCTGGCCTTCCTGGGAGGCTCCTCCACATTCAGGGCCACGGCCCCAGCCAGTTGGGTCTGCTGGCTTCTGGGCCCAGCTGTACCGCCACTGTGGCCATGGGATGTTATGGCAGCCGCGGAGAACGGGAGGGGGTGGTGATGAGAGGACCTTGGGGTACGCGGGTAGGAGTGGAAGGACCATTGGCTGCCTGCGAGGTCTCCAGCTTCTTGTCCACTCTGGATGCACCCTGGGAAGACGGCAAGAAAGGCAGACAGCCCTCTGTAGCTCTGCACTGGGCCTGGCTCAGCATGGGAGAGACAGAGAGCAGGGGCCACATGAAGGAAGCAAGGCGGCCCCCTGGTGTCAGAAGGGAACAGTGACGTGACCCAGTTCTTGACCAAAGGCTCTGGGGCCAGGACAGGCGCTGGGACTCCAGCACAGGGGGCCGAGCTCCTGCACTGCCCTCCAGATGGTGCCAATCCATGGACCTTCCGGCAGGTTCTGATGATCAGCAGGACGCAGCCCCTCAGCCTGGCCACCTGGCTGGGTCCCGGGGCCTTGGACTGGACCCAGGCTGCACCCAAAGTCCACTTAGCAGGTGGAATCGCATCAGCTTCCTGGGTGGCCGGGCAGGGCCACTCAGCGAGAAGCCTCCTCATTGCCCAGCCCTTCCCAGCCCCACCTCCCTGTGCTTCGTCCCCCAGGGGACAGGGCGAGGGCCGACCCTGACTCCCATTCTGGCTCCCCACCACCTCCCCGGTACCGGCAGGCCGCTGTGTGCTGGACCACATCCCTTCTCTCCTGGGTCTCAGTTTCCTGCAGACGATGTGGGGCTGGGCACCTGGACACTCCAAGGTGGCTTCCAGAGGGTCTCCTCTGAGTCCCCTGTGACCCCACGCTGTGCCTGAAGGCAAGAGAGTCTGAGCCCACCAGCTCTGGGACCTGCTTCCAGACAAGTGCAGGTCCTCCACGTGCTGGCTCTGCTCCCTCGCTTTGGGTTTCTTCGCTTTTTTTTCTTTCCTGGATGAAATTGCTGCCAGCTCGGAAGGAAGGAGGGAAGGGGAGCTCGGAGTGTAGAACTTTCCTTGACTCCTCCTCCTGTCTCCCTCCCCGGCCCCGAGCCCAGCCCGTGAAACGGCACAGCCAGATCACTCAACAATGCCTGCCCCTCTCTGACGGCACTGGCCGCTCCCGCTGACGCTGAGCCGAGCCGAGCCCGCGGGCACCCCACCGACGGCGACGGCGCAGCCCACACCCGCCAGGTTGCCCCGCAGCCCGGCAGCCGAGATGCCCAGCCCGCCCGGGCTCCGGGCGCTGTGGCTTTGCACTGCGCTGTGCACCACGCCGTGCGTCCGCGGCGCCCCTCAGCCCGGCCCAGGGACCACCTGCCCGGCCCCCTGCCACTGCCAGGAGGACGGCATCATGCTGTCGGCCGACTGCTCCGAGCTCGGGCTCTCCGCTGTGCCCGGGGGCCTGGACCCCCTGACGGCTTACTTGTGAGTACCAGCCGCGCACCCTCCCTGTTCCCGCCCGGCTGCCCGCGGGCACCTGCCCGACCTCAGGCTGGGACACCTGCCCGGCTGGTGCCCTGGGGCGCGGGCATCCCCGAGGCCTCTCCCCCTCCAGAATGGACTGCTGCGGGGCTGGGCGGGTTGAAAGTTCCGAGGCTAAAGAGCAGACAAGCGTTTGACTGGCTTCCCTGACTTGGTTTCCCAGCCGGCCCCTGTCTTGTGCGTTTGCTGGGTGGCTCAGGCTCGGTACAGGTGACTCTCTGGACCCTGCGCTGGAGGGACAGGGTTGGCTCTCCGTACCCTCGCTATTTTCTTCTCCAGCAGAGTGGTGCCCGGGAGCGTGGCTGCAGGCAAAGCTGACTGAGTGGGTGGTGATGGGGGGGGGCTCCAGTGGGCAGAAGGGCTGTCCCTTCCTCTGCCTGGCGAGGAGAGCCGAGCTGTCACACTGAGGCTGGGTGGCCTTGGTGCGGGGCGCCAGAAGCTGAGAGGGGACCTTACCCACTCTCGTCTCCTCCGAAAGGGACCCTGCCAGCACCGTCTCCCTTCACAGAGGCCTCCTGCCTCCCCCGGGGGCCTCCTTGAAGTCGTGTCCCAGGAGGCCGTGTTGGAGACACTAATTTGTGGGCGGGCGCCGGGGCTGAAAACCAGAGAACCATTTTTAGAGTCGGAGTTGGGGTGAGACGGCGCGTGAAGGGGACCCAGTCGGGGGCGGCTCCCAGAGGACGGCTCCCAGCAGCTTCTCCCAGGGCCTCGGGGCTGGGGGCTCTGGCTGCTCACCTCCTGGGCAGAGGACGGGGTGGGAGCACATTCCAGATCACCCACCCCACTCCACCCCACCTCTTGGGGAAGGGGACCTCCCGGCTCCGCCCTGCAGTGGCTCCATCACCTCCTGTCAGCGGAGGAGAGCAGGTGGGACAGCCCAGGGCCCTCTGTCCCAGCCACGGGGTCCTGCAGCTTTGTGGCTTTGGGGGTCTAGGCCCTGGGAGCTCAGAGGGAGAGGGAGCCGGGCTCGTTTCGCAGGATCCCGGCAAGTTTGCACTGAATGCGAGCAGGGCGCTCCGTGCTGTGCTGACGACATCCCGGCGGGGTACGGAGGGTCTGAACAGCAGCCCTTCATAGGGCTCCCCTCCCCGTCTCTCTGTCCCTAGTTGGGGCATCCTCTTCCGCTCCAAGAGGCACAGGCTGGGGGGGGAGGGCCAGGGGAGGGAGCGGGAGGGAGAAAATAGTGCCCTCATTCCAGCAGGGCCAATCGAACCCTTCACAGTCCAGGAGGTGAAGCAGGGCAGGCCCTGTGAGCCGAGCCGTGGGCTGCGAGGGCACTGGGTGCTGGCAGGGAGGGCCGGCTCCCACCGCATGCCTGCTGTGCCCAGGGCAGCCCGCTTCTAGCCCGTTTACGTATTGGGGTGTGTGACACTGTGTCATTTGACGTCAGAGTCCTGTGGCTAAAAAGAATTTGAAAAAGACTTCTGTAGAGGCTCCGTCTGGGGGAGCAGAGGAATAGTCCCCTTCCTGTGTGAGGGGCGGGGGAGACAGACGGGGCCTCCTGGAGGCTGACTGGTCCAGCTTCCTTCCCAGCACCTGTCTTCCCAGACGGACACTTGTTCAGGAAGGAAGCCACGCTTGGAATCCAAGTGTCCACCGTGCGCGCTGATGGAAGGCTTTCCCACCCTCTTGTCGCAATTCCCCCAGAGCTGTGAAGTCTGCACGTGGGTTCAGAGGAGGCGGGATCTTCTGGGCTGGTCTTGTGTCTCCCTGGGGATCGAGAAAGCCCCCCCCTCACCAAGACTCCGATTCTCCCTTCACCTTCGGGAGAGCAGCCTGCTGACAAACACACTGAGGGTGGCATGGGTGGGAGGCTGTCGCTGAGCAGAGCCGGGGGCAGGGGTGGGCGGTCTTGGGGCTCCTTTCCCTTCTCAGCGACGTTGGGAAACGCCCGGCCTGGTCTTGCCCCACGAAACCCAGGTCTTGCCGAGGACAGTGCAGATTTGCGTCTGATGATGGGAGACCCAGACGAGACCCCTTTCTGCCTGGGCCCCAGACCCTGTCCCTTCCTGGCTCCGCCATCTGTGCAGAGCCGCCGGGCTGCTCCACGCCTCGGTGCTTCATTCCTATGCGGGGAGAAGCGGGTGTTGGGAAGGTGAGATGAGGTGACGCATCTGTAGAAAGTCCCTAGCACACAGCCTGACACTGGGGGGTGACCACAATTCGCAGCCTCCCATTGGGTGTCCAGGGGAGGCGGAGGTGAGCTCCGGGGCCCTTCACACAGGAGGGAGGCTGAGCCCAGGAGTGACCGTGGAGCCCAAGGGAATGGTCCGCAGTGCGTGCTGGGCAGTCGCCTGCGGGTGCTGGTCTTGGTCAGTGCTTGGCTATTCCAGGGGC